AAAAGCATTGAAACGTGCCTCTAACGTATCGCCATCACGCAATTTGTCCAATTCAGGAAATACATAAGGGTCCACCGGACAACTGAATACATGTTTTATGTTTCATTGCTTTTTTTATAACTTTTTTGTTGTGATCAATTGTACTTACCCGAAGCGATCGATGAGCTGTATGCTACGTCCTGAATATGGATCTCTAGCTACGACATTTGTTGCGAAAATATCTGTCACATGATTGTATCCATCTTGTGCTTCCAAACGGAATGTGAGTGGGTCACCAACTGCAATTGTTGTCGTTGGTCTGCCTTGGTACAAAATCATCAAACGTACCTTAGAGCTTAAGGTGTTTTCGGCGGGCAGATACTCTATTGGTATCGGGCTGCCAGATCTATCATCATTAATAAGACTTTTTTCAGAAACACAAAGTGAATATTGTAACGAAATGATATTTAAACGAATTTGAGTGATTAAACAAGCAATTCGTTTGAAATTTCATTTTGTTTTTGAAAATACTACAAATTTACTTTGATTAGTTGCATCTACTTAAAATTAAGATTTTGGTATAGAAAAGTTAATAGAAAAGCGAAACTAAATTACTAAACACTAAACTACGTTGCCATTTATGAATTCTAAGCTAAATTCTAGACTGAACTACATATAAACTTTACTTTTATTCAACAATAAACTTAGATTGAGCCTAAAAGTATGCAATATGTAATACATAAGAGTGAATGGATTTCCTAGACTGTTGCACAATAGACTGAACATAGTTCAAAACACAATAAATAGTCAAGAATGCAAGCAAATATGGACTGTATAGATATAAACAAATTATGTGGCAACTTTGTTGCATTTTTTTTATACTTAAAAAAGACGTACAAAATTTTGTACAAACTTTTTGAAAAATACTTACAGACTTCAGTCTACAGACTTTACTATTTAATTGAAAGTTAATTATTTATTTAAAGTAAAACTCTATACTTTTATATTAATTATTATTTAATAAAATATTTATAAAACTCATCCTTTTAGCTATTACCTTCATATATTATAAAAACAACATATTAGCTATGCTATGTTTGGTCTATGGCAACAGTTTAGAAAAAAGCTTTGTATGCATTGCTTTACAGCACATTTCACATACCCTGCCCCAATATAACCAGATGTGACAACTGCCTCTCCAGGTCCACGGAAAACGCACGTTAAGTTATAACGTTTATCACGACTTGTTTGCACATTATCAGAAAATTGTACAACAACAATGTTGGTTAAGGTGTCGCCATACTAAAAGGCAATAAATCAACTACATTTTAATATATTCAAAGAAAAGCCCATAAATTCTACTTACTCGCTGTGTTCCACAGTCTGGATAACCCTGTGGTCCACTTATGCGCAAAACATTTACTGTGCCGCCATTACCACGGAAAAAACATCTAAATAAATTTTATATAAAAGAAAATATAATTACTTTATCTGATTTTCATACCTATCATAGTAGCCGTAGGTGTAAATACGTCCTATGAAGCCTTCTGGTGTACGTATTGTAAACTCCATTCCTTCCTCATTGCATGTTTGGGTTACTATTAATGATATATGCCAATATATTTTGCTTTATTTATATTTTAATTTACTTATTCAAATTTTTTTTTATTATTAGGCTCTTACCATCCATACACTCTCCGTCACTTCGTCCCAAACTACGTTCGTAAAAATCATAATTGGCGCTATCAAATGAATTTGGATCATGTACATCTAACTCACGTGAATCTCTGTCACTCAATTCACAGTTGGGTGAATCGCGTTCGTCATAACCAGAAGCTGCAGCATCTCTGCAGATTTTACAATTTTAAAATTGTATGGTATAGATTTTTTCTATGTAAGCATAGCCAACTCACCTGTAATTAAAGCTGCGACATACGAAATCTCTACTTTCAATACATTCACGTTCACATTGTATCAAAGATGGCACAGTTAAAGCACGACGCACAAAATGTCTGCGCATTTTATGCCTTGCTGCAACTTGTTTAAAGTTATCACTCTCTTCACAACGTGTTATTGGCGGTCGTGGTGCACCACCCCCGCCAAGTCCTCCACCGTAATGTGACCCAGGCGGTGGTGGTATGCCACCCGGTAATGGACGATCATCTGCTAATGGTGGTAAGGCTCCACCATGGTATGGACGGTTGAAAGGACTTTCGAATGGTGGATAACCACCATTTGCAATTGGACGTCGACCTATCGGCACATCATACTCACGATCATATGGACGACCATATCTGTCATCATAACGATCTTCATATTCTAGATCGTAATAGGGTGGAGGTCGATCATAACCTAAATAAAAACTTGTTAAACATGCATCATTCTGTTTTATGGTCGTTCTGTTAATTTTCATGGTAGTTGATTAGTTTTCTGTTTGTTACTAACATACCTGGACGTTCGACACCGCTGGCACCAAATCGATTACCATATTTGTATATGTCGATTGGATAACGATCATTACCTACCGGGAATCGATTTGGAGAAGTTGGATATTTGTTAGATGTTAATGGTGGCACAAGTGGTGCTGGTGGAAAACGCTTTACTGAATCAGGTTCAGGTCTGTGTGCACTATGTACTATGTCATCAGTTGGATATCGACCATCTGCATCATAACGTACAGAGCCGCCACGTATAAGTGGATACCTTCTTGAATCATATGATGAAGGACGAAAACGTCTATCAGGAAATATGTTATCAGGCGCATCTCGCCCACTGTAACCACCAATTGGTTCACGAGTAGTTGGATAGCGCGATGGATAGCGATTTGCATAACGATCATCTGGGTAACCACCACTTTGTCCATAGGGTCTATATAAATTATCTTCACCAGGTGGATATGGACGTGTATGCGGCAAATCATTTGGTAAGCTGTTATCCCTTATAGGTGGGAAGCGGTCTAATGGGCGGTATGGTCGATAAGGATCTTGCGACGGATATCTACCATCATTTGGATAACGCTCACGATCCCGATCGCGATCACCATAAGTATCTGGAAAGCGATCTGGGTATCGATCTGGATAACGATCACGATCACGATCACGATTACGATCACCATCACTACCAAATCTATCGGGATAACGATCAGCGTATCGATCACGGGGAGGATAACGTTCATCATCTGGATAACGTCCAGCTCCTCTGTCTGGATAACGATCACGATCGCGGTCACGATCACGATCTGCAGGAAAACGATTACGATCTGTATCTGGAGGGTAACGTTCATCATCATATACGCCTCCACCACCGGTTGGATAACGTCCACGATCTCGATCTCTATCGCCTCCATATCGATCACCTGGGTATCGCTCACCTGGTCCACCTGGTCCACCAGCCATAGGATAACGATCTATATAATGTTATTCGTTAAAGTGTTAGTATATACGTTAGAGCGTGTATGTGTACATAAATTCAAGCTAGTCACTTAATTATTTTTAAATTATATTTTCATTAGTTTGGGATTTGTGTAATAATTTGCAATTAAACAATAATTTTAATCTAATTTTCTATTCTATTTTATAAATAAAATGTATTTACCGTAATCATTAGGATTTGTTTCAGGATAGCGATCATATGGTCGCCCGACGTCATTGCCACCACTATTTTGCCCAAAGCGATTACCACCGTAACGATCATCATCTTTGTTTGGTGGGCGCCAATTTGTTCCACTTTGGTCACCAGGTCGATGGCCATTATTTGTACCAGTACCACTGTGGCCATCATCTCCACCACCAACAACATTCACTGCAAATTTATTAAGTGTTATCACTAATTTGTACTGAAATAGTTAGTTGAGCACTTACGCATTAAATTCTCGTAGTAATCGTAATCGGCATCATATATAATGCGCATGCCATCCTTTTGATTGTACCGGCTCAAGCGGCAAGTACGAAAGCGATCACTGTACACAGCCGATCTAAAATAATCCAATTAAGAAAATAAAGTTACTTTAAATTGCTGCAGTAAGAAATAAGTCGCGTTAATGCGACTTATTTTGTAGTAGGCGTTGACTATAAACACTAAAAATACAAGCTAAGATCATTCGATTATGGTTCCTAGAATTTTTAGTGCTAGCGTATTTATATTTATAGACTTAAATCTTCTAGAGATAAATGAGCTTTCAATTAGCGAACAAACCTGCATTGGAAGCTAGTTTGCCTTAGGCATTCATCTAAGCACTCGCTTAGTGAACGTCCTGTTATCTCAGAATGAAATTCACCACCAAGTCTGGAATTGCGGTAACGTTGAAAAGCAGTATCTGGTCGACGCCCGCTCGAAAACAGATGCGATGTGACTGAGTTATCAGGGTAATCGGTAGCACGTTCTACAAATTAAGCAAAAAAAAACAAAAAAAAATGCTATGTGTTTACAGAATATTGCAAAGGTTTTATTTATGCTTTTTTAAAGTTGGTTTAGCAGGTGTTAGATGCAGCATTTCAGCTAATTTAATGCACACAAGTGATGCATGGCATCTACTCACGGTTATCAAGACAAACAAGATCATAAAAATTATGGGATGGACTGGAGCTTATACTTATGTCATCCTTCTGTGATATTGAATCTTCTTCTGAGAGTATGCACTGTTTTGTTTGATCATCAAACTCCACTGAACGACAAAAATACCTTTGAAATAAAATAAATAAATACTGGCAATCAATATTCAGATACTTCACATGATGACTTACTTTTCAGCACGCAAACACATCGTTTGACACTCCTCCAAAGTCATGTTGTGGAATATGTCAACCTCAAATGGTCCGCCCAAACGCTTGTTTTCTTCCTTAACGAAAACAGCCAACCCATCGCATCGTCGTTCAGCTAGAATAAAATTGATATTAATTTTTGTGACAAGATTAATTGAATAATTATAGACTTGATTACTTTAAGAGAGTGAGAACAGCAGATATGAATGTAAGAAGATATGAATGAATTACTGATATTTTTTAACGAATGGCATATTGGCATATTCAATTTTGAAATCATAGTTTGATTTAATATAATAGTTTTGAGTTATAATTTAATAATATCGTAAGTTAAGTAAACTAATCGAAAGGTATCTGTATTTAAATACTTATATTATTTCATACTCTCAGTGTAACACAGAATCTTTTCATAAAGAAAACTTAATTCGTACTAAACAAAGTTTCGTAACTATGAGTTCATGAAAATTGTACTATTGCTTAACTTCTTCGATTATTGGAATAACAAGGATATATTCATATTGATTAAGTAGGTAGTTAAGTAATTATGTACAACAGTTCATTTATATGGAACAGAAGTTCACAACATTTGTAAACTAGTTGTTATTCCCATGAGCCCAAAATACGTCCCAAATTTTTTATCAGTTCGTTGAGTTAGTATTTTGATATTATAGAAAGTAGAAAACTTTATAGAACTTTAAAGACTTTATAGATAGCATCCGCTGAAATTTGACTAAAGCACTCAAAGGCACAACAGTCGAAAAGAAAGACTGTGAGTTCTATATATATATATAGAATATATATAGTTCTTTACGAAAATATTATATTTAACAATAATCTTGAAAATGGAGAAATTTTAATAGCTGGTATGACTATATGTTTTATATCAAAAAAAATTATAGAAACGCAGAAGAAATTGTTCTGTTACTAACATAATCTACTGCGTCACGAATGTGTCTTAGTCTATTTTCAGATACTACTATTAGCAATTACTAACTTTTCTTTAATGCAAATATAATGAGAAATTTTTTAGAAATATTATATTAGTATTGGAATTTATTTTATATAGAATATATTCATGAAAGAAATCATATTATTTTTAAAATTGTGTGTATCTACATATCCTATATAAATATATAAAAACATTTATATATTGATTAATGGCTTCAAGCTAGTACCAAATAGTTCCTCTGCTCTCTAGTGTGAAAATATATAATTAAGTTTAGTAAGGTCAGTATTTTGAAAAAAAGATTTAATATATTGGCATTGGTAACATATATGTGGATATTTTCCTTCATGTTTATGGAACTACTCTGTGGCGTGAATATGGCGATCAATAATTTTTGAAGCCAATCTATCTTATTAAAAAGTTTTAGTTCTTTCTTATTAATATATACATCAATGGTGTCTACTCATAGACCTATGTGTGATATTCATTGCAAAATAATAGTTTATATTTGTATTTTGTTTTTAATATTAAATTTGTTGCCGTTGAGAGTCGGGCGTAGTAAACGTTTTCGTCTTTTATGTACTTTTAGTGTAAATTTCTAGAGTTAGTTCCAGATATCTTGGGGAATTATCTCATAGTACATATATGGACATTTATATATAGTAACCTGGGTAGTTAACTTTTTTTTTGTGGATTTTGGAAGAATTTTTGTTTTTCAATATACATATTTGTTATCAATAACGAATAATATGGATGCTTCAAAATTTTTTATAGCCGCTGCAAATACCTCGGATTTTTAGATATAGGTAGTTCAATATTTATGCCGCTCGCGATTTATTTAAAAAAGAAATTCAAATTTATTTATACTCAATATCAATTTAAAGACCTGAAGAATTAATACTTTAAACATATCAAACTTACGGATTTTTTTATTACGAGTTAAGCAATCTCGTAAATTAAGTAATAGCATTTATATGTGAGCCTATTGATTTTTCATATTATATAAATCTTTTTTTCTTTTGCTATAATAAATAAAAGAAATGTATAAATTTACCATTTAAACAAGTATTTTCCAAATAATCCGAATTCGCATCGTCCTCCATTAACTCTGGATGCGTGCGCCGTGTGAATCTATTTTCAGCCAACCAAATTTATTTGATTAGAATAATTTATTGATTAACACACTTAGATACCAGTTTAAATATTGTATATAAAATTTATTAAATTTAAAATTATATTATGTAAAGGTACGAACCTGCTTAGCGTACAGGAACGCATCGTAGAGTCAAAATTTGCTGAACGACATACAAACGAGAACTCGTTCAGGCACTTGTCTTCGCAGTCTGAACGATTTGCCGCCGTAATCTGCAGATTTGTTATTCGTAAAAATAGGAAAAAAAGATAGAAATAATAATAAGACACAGAACAGAAACAAGATAATGCAATAAATCACTGGCATAATATAACATATCAACGCAATACATAATTTTAATGTCAAACTCTTTCTATTTAACTCAAGCATGTAAGCGTATAAGCAAACCTCTTTTATGTCCGAAATGGGCAGTTTCAATTTTTTGCGTGGATGGCGCTCAAAGACGTAACGACGACTCGGGCATTCTCTTTCAGGACGACTGGCTGTTGTAAAATGTAATAAATATATCATTATTTTTGAATTTTTTAATATAAGTTTAGATTCCCTGCCGCTATTCTCACTTACATGTCAAACAAATTTCATTGAAGTGTACACTGTTTGGCACCAGCATTAAGCTACCGATACCCTCAGGTCCGGCTTGCTCGGATGTTAGGTAACAAAGCGATTCTTCGTACTCATTACCGCCAAACGATGTAATGCGACTGCCTGGCTGAAAGTCGAAACTAGTACATGTGCGCACTAAATTATTTGTACCGGTACGATCGCGTAGGCAGAGATCTTGACATTTCTCTAACACACGAAAAGGTGGTGCTGTATCGCGTACAACATCATCGTCATAGCCTTGCAGTTGCTGATTAGGTAAACGCTCGTAGAGTACACGTCCCAAGCCATTCTTGCAGGTTGTTTGAGCTACAATTTTGTGGAATTTGCAGTTAGTTACATGTGAAGTCTCTGTCATGGGTGGAGTTACGGCTAAAATGGTTTATATTTACTCACCACTTATTACATGTAGGTTTAGGCTAATTAAAGCACTTAATATAAAAATTCGCATATCTATCTTTCGTTTTAACATTTCTCTAATATATACAGTTGGTAATATAGTATAGAACGAGTTTTAGAACTGTATATGAGTGTCAGCTTTGGTTTTGGTTGATATTTAGATTTTCCAACGCATTATTTACCAATACTTGCGCCTAGGAAAATAGTAAAAAAATTTTACATTAGTATATTTTATTTTATAATTGATTATAGAAGTATTTGTAAGTCAAAGCTTCACAAGTGACGAGCGTAGTAACACAAGTTCTTCACTTATTTTTTATTTAGAAACGATTTAGTGCATAAATATAATGTTCGCTGATTAAAACACATTCACACATATTATTCACATTTCTATGTTATTAAATCTATAAATTAAAAAAACTAAGATTAATTACTTCTGTGTATACTGTAAATGAGTTATATTATATTGAATTATTAAGAAATTTGGAACTATAAACTCATTCACAAAATAATATTAATATATACACGAGTATTAAGGTTATAGTTAGGATGGCATAAAATACGTAGAGAAAGTGTATATATTAGTTATTCTATCTAACTTATCAAAATTTATCAAAATAAGATGGCATTGGATAAATTTATGTATTATAGTATTATATTGTATAAACATCCTATATAGCTGTATAATTATAAGCATTTAGTATTAATTTATCATAACACATATCATGTATTATAGTATTATATTGTATAAACATCCTATATAGCTGTATAATTATAAACATTTAGTATTAATTTAACATAACACATAGCTGAAGGCCTCAGTAGGCAGAGCTATATCTATACATGTTAGTATTAGTTTTATAAACTAAACTATCATTATTAATAAATAAAAAATAAATAAATAATTAAATACTATAGTAGAAAAGAAAGAAAATATTGTTAACATGTATAAGCATAAATTAGTTCTGGCAAAATAAAATTGTCATTGGTACTATTTTTTCAAACATCTAGACTTAGACCTTATAGTTACAGTTATAGCATAATAGTTACAAGTTTAATATGAAAACAAGCAGTGTTTAAGATGCTAGCCTCAGTCTAAATACAGAAAGTCTTTGCTGAATATTTCACATTAGAAGAAGATAATACGAAAGAAATGTTAGACTTGAGGCAGAGCACTAGTACTATGAAAGATCTTTTGTGTTAATAACCACTTCAAAAGAATCAAATTTAAAAGTGATTATCAAAATTTTATAACAAAATTAACAAATTAAAAAGTCAATACGTTAACCTCATCCTTAACAGAAATAGTTCAACTGCAATCTCTTTAAATATCATTCCCATACAGTGAGCTAATAATATAATTTATTTGAACAACCATTTAAGTTAACCAAATGGAATTACTATTTTATAAACTATATTAACTTATAAGTCTCCAGTCCCCTTTAGTTAAAGACACAAGATTCTTCTAATATAAATCTAATAGTATAATAAATCTAACAGTACAACAGTTTGGGTTTTCAAAAATAAATCAACAAGAAGCATTCAGCTTCCCTTATGAATATCAGAAGGACACTTGTTGAGCAGTTGCCGATATCAGATAACATAGTGGTAGGTGCTCTCGTTTTAGAATTAAAGGTATTTGCCTGGTTTCAGACAAAACAGAAATGTATTTTATTAAAATATAAAAATCTAAAAAGGGTTATTTTCGATGTAATTTTGTTTTAAATTTTTTTTTGTTTTATGTTATTTATTTTCGATATTTGTTCAAATTAATTTAGTATATAAAGGTTGGATTTTTAATAAAGTATTTATTTAATTTAATTGAAATAAAAAATAAAGCTCTCAAAGCGTATTTAATCCAGTCTTTAGTGATTTCGGTTCAATGTTGTCAGACTTAAAATCGTATAATAGTGTGTTTACACTTAGATTCATAGAATCTTTTTTTCATATTTTTATTTGGATTAAGTGTGGATTTTGTATGAAAAATGATACACATGGTATATATTTTTCAAGTTAATAACAATAGACTATCGTTAGTTAATCTCTATTTCTTTATTTGATGTTATTGATATGTATGTAGTATTAATGAAGTATTTAAGTAGATATATTTATATGTGTGAAAACATACGATACACATACGACATTTAAAAAGAAGCAATATTATTACTAATAAAAATTCGTTAAGAAATACATTATTAAATATTAGAAACTATTAGATCAATTGTGTTAAAAAATAAAAAACATATATAATATTACAAGAGTTTTTAAAACATTTTAATAAGGTACAATTATATATGATAAAAATTACAATAAAAATTTGTATGAGGTATTATTCAAAATTATGTTTAATTACTATTTATAATTTTTTTTATGTACACACGTAACATAAACATAAAAAAAATTTATGTTAATCATACGTAAAAACCGCAAATTGAAAGCTTGTTTGAGGTGGCACTGACAACGCTTCGCATGGTTGCATTTTCTAGGACTTCGGACGAGTATTAAAGTAATTTGCTTTTTTATATATAAATTTGTTTTTGATTAAATTTAATATAAATTTCGATTTAAAAAAATAAGTAAATATTATGGTTCATAATAATTTCAAATTTGGAATATGATTTGTAT